AGAGAGATACACACAGAATAAAGGTAAAGGTCTGAAGCAAAATCTATTATGCTTAAGTTGAAGTAAAAAAAAAAAAAAAGCAAGGTAGCAATCCTTAACTTAGACAAAGTAACAGCAAAAATAGACCTAACTAAAAAGATAAGGAAGGAAACTACATCTCGCTAAAAGCTACCATAGACAATGAAGCAATCAAATTAGAGCAAGGAATAGTCTACCTGTCAGATCCATGGGGAGGGGAAGAATTCATGATGAAACAAGAGATAGAGAGCATTATTAAATGTAGAGCAGATAATTTTGATCATATTAAATTAAAAGGCTTTTGCACAAACAAAACCAATGCAGCTAAGATTAGAAGAGAAGTAGAAAGGTGAGAAAAAAATCTTTACAGCAAGAGTCTCTGATCAAATATATAGAGAACTGAGTCAAATGTATAAGAATACAAACCATTCCAATTGATAAATAGTCAAACGATATGAACAGGCAGTTTTCAGATGAGGAAATCAAAGTTATCTGTAGGCATATGAAGAAGTGCTCTAAATCACTTTTGATTAGAGAAATGCCAATTACAACAACCCTGAAATACCACTTCACAACAATCAGATTGGCTAATGTGACAAAAATAATAAGTGGCCAGGATATGGGAAAATTGTGACACTAATGCACTGTAGGTGAAGATATGAACTGATACAACCAATCTGGAGAGCAGTCTGAAACTATGCTTAAAGGGTATCCAAACTGTGCATACCCTTTATTCCAGCAATACCACTACGAGGTCTGTATCCCAAAGAGATCATAAAAAAGGAGAAAGGTCCTACAGATACAAAATTATTTATAGCAGCCCTATTCATGGTGGCAAAATATTGGAAATTTGAGAGGATGCCCATCAATTGAGGAATGGCTGAACAAGCTGTGCTATATGAATGTAATGGAATACTATTGTGCAATAAGAAATGATGAACAGGAAGATTTAAGAAAAACCTGGGAAGCCTTGTACAAACTGAGGCAAAGTGAAATGAGCAGAAGCAGCAAAACATTGTACACAGCATCAGGATGATCAACTATGAATGACTCAGCATCTCTTATCAATACAATGTTACAAGACAAGTACAAAGGACTCACGAAGAAAAATGCTATCCACATCCAGATAAAGAGCTGATGGACTCAGAATGCAGATTGAAGCATACTTTTTCCAATTACTTTATTCTTCTTTGTGTTTTTCTTTTTCATCTTCATCTGTTTCTTTTTCTACAACTATAACAAATACGGAAATATGTTTTACATGATAGCACATGTATAAACTATATCAAACTGCCTGCCATTTTCAGAAGAGGGGAGGGGAGAGAGGAAGGGAGAAAAATTTAGTTGATGATGGAGGGGTTGCAAAAAGACAAATACACTAGTGCATTTTTGGTAAAATTGTAAATTTGTAAAAATAAAATCTGGGAAGCAATGAAGAATTGTGCAAATAAAATTGACTAAAATTTTCATCCCTTTTGACCCGGGGATTCCATTACTAGGCATACATCTCAAGGAAATCAGTGATTAAAAGAAAGTCTCCATACAAAGCATTTATAGAAGCACCTTTTGTGTTAACAAAAAACAAAAACAAAAATAAAAAACCCTAGAAACAAAGTAGATGTCCATTGATTAGTGGATGACTAAATAAATTGTAGTACATGAATGTCATGGAAGATTAATATTCTGTAGTAAATGACAAATGACGAGTACAGAAAGGCATAAAAGACTTTCATGAACTAATGCACAGTGAAGTGAACAGGGCCAAGAAAACAATGTACACAATGATTACAACAAGGTAAACAGAAAGAACAATCACAAAGGAATGGAAATGTTACAAAATCATGTGAGAAGATACCTCTTCCCACTACTTTGCATAAGTAAAAGGTCCACAGTTACGGAATATACTGGTATCTATTTTCAGATTTTTCCCATATTGGTCATTTTTGCCAATTATTTTTCCCACTTCTTCCACTTTTAAAAAACATTCTTTGTTATATGAGATAGGGGAGGAGAGGGACAAGAAGAAATTTAGGCAATGTGAAAATAAAAAATGTCATTAAAAAAGAAAATTAATAGCTAAGTTAATGATTATAAGTTATCTAAAACTCACATGATTCTTAGGAGACTCAGCCTCCCTTTTCTGCCACTGTGGAAGTGGAAGGGGGCAGCACAGGAGGGAGAGTATGGGTGGTTGGTTGGTTCATGTATGGTTGGTTCATGGGTTGCCATGGCTGAAGAAATCACCAACCAAGTAGCTGGTTGGCTACTTGATGACTTCCTGGACCATATTTAACTAAATTGGTCCTCAGAAAACAGATACAATCTGTCTGAAATCATGTAATATAAGTTATAAAAGTTCTCATATGATCCCAGTTTTAGGTTTTTGAGTTGAAGAGATCAGGGACAGAAGAAAGGACTTCTTTGCAGGAAATAAAAAGCATTTGCAATGACACAGTTTGTAAAGAGAAAACAAGAGAGGAAAAAGGAATAGAGAGAAAGAGAAGAAAAGGAGAGAGAAAGAAAGAAAGAAGGAAAAAAGAGAGAGAAAGAAATAAGAAAAGGAGAAAGAGAAGGAAAGGAGAGGAAAAGAGGGAGGGAAGAAAGAAGGAAGGAAGGAACCCAACCCAACCCAATGTCCGAGGACCCTGGTTCAACCCCAGACTCTGCTACTTACTACCTACTTGACCTGGGCTTCATCACTCACACTCTTTGGGTTTCATTTTCCTCGTCCAGAATAGGTTTAGAGTCAGAGCACCTGAATTAAGTCCTATCTCTCTCACTATGTGACCCTTGGACAAGTCAATTAACCTCTGTAGGCCTTAGTTTCCTCATTTGTAAAATTGAAGAGGCAGAACTAGATGGCCTCCAAAGTCCCTTCTCACTCTCAGCTGATGATACTCCTCTGACTTCATATCCACTGCTAAAATGCCTTCCTTAAGAGAAATTCACTTAATGAATTCCTTTAGTCCCAATTCTTAGAAGTCAAAAAAAGCACCTCTGATGCTTTACAGAATTTCCATATCCGTACTGTGAGTGAGAACTATACATCATGGATAAATTCCTAAAACTAATTCTACCCAGTAAAGATCAGTACTTTTCCAGGCTCAAGCAAGATCCCCAGAGTCACATTTCGGGTGGACAATATTTGGCAGGAATGTAAAAATGATTCACACTAAAACAACTAAATCTAATTATTAATAGCCTCAAATGAAGCCACCAACCTCCGCTTGAAAATATTCATCATGAGCCTATAGCAGGGTCAGTCCTCAAAAATACTATTTACTACTGAGGGGATCGCTGGGGATACCAGCTGATTGGAGAAAATGGAAATAAGCCACCTTTCTGAGTGTTTTCTTCTCAATCCCTCTAATATCAATGCAGATTCTCCCTAACTTTGAGTTTGGGAGTTTCCTGGAGGCAATAAGAAGTAAAATGACTTGTTCAAAAGCATACAGCTAGAAAGTATGTTCAGTTTCAAATACAGGTTCCTTGACTCTGTGGTCCATTTATCCCATACAGTCACACAGAAGAATCTCTTTTTAAATAAAGGAGTATATATTTCCAGCTCTAGCTTTGGGCACTAAACATAGTTGAACAAGGTGTGTCAGTGTTAATCCGGAAGGAATACAATGATGGCCTGGCAAGAACATAAAATCATTATTCCAAAAACCTGGATTAGAATCCCAGTGGTTGTGCTCCTTACTATCAGTGTGACCTTGGCCAAATCACCTCATGACTTTGGGCCTCAGTTTCTCTTGTTTGCAAAATTGAGGGAGGGGGATTGAACTAGGAATATAAAATTTTTACTGGAAATATCATCTTCCTGAATTCAAATCTGGCCTCAGACACTTACAGGTTTTGTGAACCTGGTAAAGTCACTTAACCCTGTTGACCTCAGTTTACTGATCTATAAAATGAGATAGAGAAGGAAATGGCAAACCACTCCAGCATCTTTGCCAAGAAAATCCCAAATGGGGTCATGAAGAGTCAGATAGGATCGAAATGACTGAACAACAACATTTTTTTTAATCTCAGATAGCATTTAATCCCATTCCATCATTTTACAGATCATGAAACTGAGGTTCACAGAAGTGAGACAGACTTTCCCAAAGTCAGGCAGCATAGCTGGGACTTCAACTGAAGTCCTCTGATGCCCAATCAGTCATTCTTTATACTGGGCTATACAGACCTCTGGAAGTCCAATTCTAGATTACATAATCTTAGGAAGGCAAGTTAAAGTAAAGGGGCAAATGCAGCAAAATTACTTTGGATAGAAAACACAGGCATTTCTAAAAGATGTTTGAGGAGACTGAATAATCAACACAAATACTAAGGCTTTAGGAATGACTTTCAAGAGAAGCAGCCTGGCATTATGGAGAGTTGGTCTCAAAATTCAAGCTACAAACTTAAGTCCTGCTTCCAAAAGGTACCTGCTGTGTGACCCTAGGCAAGTCACTAAATCTCTAGATGCCCTTAATCAACTCTTTAAGTAACAGAACAGAATAGGTGCCAATGTGCATGGATAGAGGGAGTTTTCCCACCAGGAGTTCCCTATACCAATGAAATCATAAGTCCAGGTATATATACATATATATGTGTGTGTGTGTGTATATACACATACATATTCATATATATACATTCAGAGTGAAAGAGTGAGTGTGTGCAAGTGAAAGAGAGAGAAAGAAAGAAAGAAAGAGAAAGAGAGAGAGAGAGAGAGAGAGAGAGAGAGAGAGAGGGAAAGGGAGAGAGAGAGAGATTGAGATTCTCTTTTGGGAAAAAGTGAGAGAGTTTCTGGGGTTCCATTTTCAACATTCTGATTTGGTGACTTATTTTAAAAATAGACTAATATCCTTGTGAATGAGAATATTTTGAATGTTTGGGTCAATGTTTTACATTTTTTTAAAAATGTGTTTTTAAAGGTTTGTGGCATTTTAAAACTATCTTTTTTCCTTTAGAGCGGCCCCATTTTCCCCCAAACATACCTTCGTGGATTCCACTTTCTCTGCTTTGGACTTTGGACTCTGCTCTTGGACTCTGGTGAATTTTCACTTTCTCTTAGCTAGAACCAGACTGGCATGGCAGGCCACTTCCAAACAATACTGCTGTGAGTGTGCTCAGTCCTTTCCATTCTAGCTACCCATTAGAATGGAAGCCCCCTGAGGATAAGAAACACCTTCTTTGAATTTGTATCCCCAGTGCTTAAAACGATGCCTGGCACAGAAATAAGTACTTAATGAATGATCCTTTCCCACCCCCACCACACCTCAAGTAGGCCCATATCCAATTTCAGAACAAAACTGAATAGGAAACTCAAATTCCACAAAGAAGATTTACAGTAAACCCCTCAGCAATGCACCAATTCCATAAATAGTATTGACAGAATATAACAGCTTATATTTGTACAGTGTTTTAAGGCTTTCAAAGCCCTTTACACACATTATTTCATTTGATTTTCACAATAGCTCTGAAGAAGATAGGTGTTATTATTATCCACATCTTACATTGAGGAAACCGAGGCAGACTGAGGTTAAATGATTTGCATAGGGTCACACAGCTGAGGAAGTGTTCAAATGAAGGTCCTCCTAAGTTTCCAGCACTCTATTCATTCTATTCACAATGCTAAGTAAAGGATATCTTGGCACACCAAACAGCCTCACACTCAGGCAATTCAAAGACAGGAAACTATCTTTGGTTTGACCTCCTTATTTCTCTGTTCACTCTGTTGATTTCTTCATCCCAACTGCTCTTCAATTTTCTGAATTCCGTAAAGGTATCAGAAAAGGAGCATTCACTCGCAGACTAACTTCTGGGAAGCTAGCCATCCATAAAGTCTTGAATAACACGGGTTCCCTGAACAGAAGATGCTAAGTGTTTTCTAAGGTTACAAAGCCTGAAAGTCATAAGCCTTGAATGCACAGTCTCAGTTTTAGCACCAAACTTGTCAACCTTAAATCAAATCAGATTCACAAGCCTGTTCCTCTGCTTGGTAGGCAGCATAAGAGGCGTTTTCCCAAGCAAAGAGAAAACAAGACATGACCACTTGGGAGTGAAGTCCATATAAAACTAGCCTGGATTTGAAATTTTTACAATGAAATTTGGAGGTTATTGGAAATTCTTTAAGTAAGGACATCAGAAATGTTCTTTGGAATATGAGTTTGCTCAGCTGGAACTCCCTAGAGAAAGCAAACTATAGGAATCCAGCCCTTCTTATAATGTTTGCTGCTACAAGTTTCCCATGACCCCTTCTTTCAGACTGTTTTGGTTTGGGTTCAGGTTCATAATTTCACTAGCATGGGGAACTCTTTTAGGAAAAAACTCCCTCTACCAATATAGATCATCAACATTTTCTTTGTATAGGTATAGTCTTAGAGAGCTGCCTGGGGCCCTGGTAGGTTTAGTAACTTGTCCAAGAACACACACAAGGGTGTGCAGGAGTCAGCTCTACCCCCTAATTGCTAAATTTTGAGCCCAAGCATTCATACCTCATAAATCTACACAACCTCATAAAACTACAAATCATGGCTTAATTTGTTTTTTGACTTGGATTGTTCAGACTTATGAAAGTGATGGAGAAAAAGTTAATGTAAATAAGCTTTAAGGTGTGTCCTGATTCCCCACCCCCCCAGAGAGCAGGTTGTTAAACACCTACCAGCACTTCTCTGATCACACTACCAATATGTATGAGAGACAAGACTTGAACTCAAATCTTCCTGACCTGAGATAAGCTCTCCATCCACTCTGCCCCCTCACTTCTCCTGTTTGTAAATAAGAAATATATTTATCCCTTCCACATCATGGTTTTCCCCATTGTGGTTTCTATATATTGCAGGTTGGCATAAGAAATGAAATGGGAATTTTGGGGGAGTTTTGCAGAAGCCACTCAAAAGCCAGCAGATGACACAGAAAAGGTTTAGAAACTCAGGAATGCATAAAATATATGCTTTCTATTGTATAATATCAACATACTTTATCTTTTAATACCATAATTATTCAGACTTCTCTGGTACAAAGGGAGGGTCAAAATTTTTACACAGATTTTCCAGATTGCAGGGGCGCCATGTAATCATCTCTGTCAAGCAGTTTTGGTAAAGTCAAAGGAAATTTGCTGAAGGGATTTACGTAGATGAGGTAGTGCCTTGTTGTAATTTCCCTCTTCCAGAATACTTTGGAAGAGTCCATACAGGGGCAGCTGGGTGGTGCAGTAGATAGAACACCAGCCCTGAAGTCAGGAGGACCTGAGTTCAAATCCGGCCTCAGACCAAACACTTGACACTAGCTGTGTGACCCTGGGCAAGTCACTTAACCCAACTGCTTTAAAAAAAGAAAAAAAAAAGTCCATACAGAGGATCCTCAGCAATGCGCTCACAAAGGTCATGTTCAGAGATCCTCTAGGCACCTTACGATTCTACTGTCCACCCCTTAAAATAATAAACACACACCCACACCCACAACCAATGAGGATGGTAAGAGAATTTGGTTGCTTCCCCTTGCCCCCATTTCTAATCCCATTCCTCCCCCAGGGACTTTAATGGAAAGTTCCCCTCCCAAACTCTTGAATCATTTCACTTCTGAACTAGTTTGATTAGTTTATAAAGTGGGCAGGACCAAGTTTCCTCAGTCAGTCCTATGCATCTTCACTGCCATCCATTCAAGGACTTTGTCATGCTTAAGTCTAAAACATGGGTTCTTAACCTTTTGGAGGTCATGGCCCCACCTTGGGAATTCTGAACATGATTCTGAGAAGGGTTCCATCAGCTTCACCTGTCTAAGGAAGCTTGGTCATGTCCATCTTAGAAACTGTTAAGCAAATTCCCAAGTGAAATGATTCAAGGGTTTGGGACGGCAGCTTTCCATTAAAGTCCCTGAGGATGAAGGAGAGGCCTCAGTTTGGTTGTCAGCATGGGTCTCCTCCCCCTCAAGTTGGCTAAAGGAGTACTTGAAGGGTGTGGAAGATCCTGGACTTCTCCTCTGTATCTAATTGGCTTTACATCAGCCTCAACAAGCAACTGTCCAGGCTCTACATAAATATCTGCAATAAAGAACTCACTACCTCCCAAGGCAGCCTGTTCCACTTTCAGATAACTCGAATTGTTTAGCTCTAATGGTTTTTGTTGTTTGTTTTTCCCCTTTCATTATGCATTTATCTGATTCTTTACAGTCTCCATCTACTGCTCCTTAGTTCTGCCCTTTGGAGTCAAATCTAATCACTCTTGCACTTAACAGTCTTCACTTTTTTTAAGACAACCATCATTCCTCTCCCCAATCTTTTTTTTCTTTGACCCAAAAAAAAAAAATCCAAGCGGTTTTTTTTATTGCTACTATTCCTCTTTTCCCTAGGTTTCCAAATAATATATTCCTTCTCCAGGGTCTAAAGTCACCCTCCCTAAATGTTGTTTTTTTAAGGGATTCACAAAAAAGCACTATCAGTATGACTGCACATGTATAACCTATATCAAATTGTTTACTGTCTCAGGGACAGGGGAGAGAAGGGAGGGAAGGAGAGAATTTGGAACTCAAAATTTTTAAAAATGGATGTTAAAAATGGTTTTTGCATTCATTTGGGGAAAAGTGAAATATTGTTAAAAAAAAGAAAAAGAAAAAAATTTAAAAGCACTAATAATATAGGGGGAATTGGCGGGGGGGGAGGAGAGCAGCAGAACAATAGAGAAAAAAGGTCAGATTTCTAAATCACAATAATTTTTGTGAGTTAATATGGGTGTTCTGTGAGAAAGCAAGAGAACTAGAACTTATTCATTCTTAACTTCTAGCCAAATCTAATCCTTGTTGCTGCCTCTCAGTTCTAGTTTTCTAGCTATATGAAACTTAGCATGCCCCAACATCACTCCAGAATTCCCCATTATAAACCTGGTGAGGTACAATGACCTTGCTCATGAATTACAACAAAGACTAATAATAACAATAGTTCACATTTATAGAGCACTTTGAGGTATACAAAGAGCTTTACACATATGTCCTTTGAGCCTCACAACAGTCTAGTGAAGTGTGGTTGTTGCTGGGCAGCTAGGTGGTACAGTGGATAGAGTGTCCAAAGACTCATCTTCCTGAGTGGAAATCTGCCCTCAGATACTTATTAGTTTTGTGATCCTGGACAAGTTACTTATCCCTGTTTGCCTCAGTTTCCTCATTTGTAAAATGAGCTGGAGAAGGAAAAGGCAAATGTGTTATTACCTCCATTTTAAAGATGAGGAAAGGTTGGGAGGTCAGAGACATATCCTTTCTTTTCCTTGGGCTTGCTTCCTTCATCTCCTTTTGAGAGTTTCATATCCTAGTCGCCGGGATATGTTTCCCTCTCTTTCACTCACTCCTGTTTCTATTACCTTCTCTCTTTGCCCTTATACTTCTCCCTTTCCTTTTTCCTTTCTCTCCCATACACACCTTTCCCTTTCTCCTCCTCACTCTATCTTCCCATTTCTCTTCTCTTTCTTTCTCTCTCTTCTTCTATTTTTTTCCTTTCTCCTCTTCCCCTCTCTTCCTCCTCTTTGCCTTTATATTCCCTGTTGACTGACCTCAGTTCTCCACTAACTCGATCTGAATTGAAACAACCCCTAGCGAAATAGTAAATCTAGATATGGAGCCATGTGACACTTGGCTTCATACAAGACAACAAATAAGTCTCTTATCTCCTATCATTGACATCATCTGTCAAAAAGGCATAATAATAATTACACCTGCAATACTTGCCTCACAAGTTGTTGTGAAGATAAAATGGGATAATGTATGCAAAATCCCTTTGCAAGACATAAAACTTTTTTTATAGACGGGAGTTATACATCTTATTATCACTTAGAGACAAAGGACACTGGGCAAAAATTACAGTTCTCAGATACTGATATTAGCCACTTAATGGCTCAGTTGAATATCATGACTCCACCCACAGGCTCCACCTATATGGGAGTGGATTCATAGTCTACAGAATCTATAAAGACTATATTTTACACAAATGAAAGAAAAAAAATACATGGGACATATAACAATTATATCCATAAGCCTTAACTTCTCTAACCCTAACTCCACAGGGTTATATTCCCACCAGGGTACCCCAGAGCAAACACCCTGTAGGTACTTGTGAGTATCTATGGGTACAAGTTCATGAGTGTCAGAAGAAGCACCCAACTACCCTTACTTATCACAAGGC